GAAGGTGACCATCACTTGGAAAATGTACTTGCTTTACAGGCTTTTGATCTTTACTTTCTTCATCCTGACTTTCATCATCGGTTAGTACTCCTCCGCGCAAAGAAGTATCGCTTCCAGTACTACCAGATGCTCTTGATAAACTTTGTATGCTAGCAGTAGCTGATCCACTGTCAATCCCACTGTCATCTTTATCATCTGAAAGAGGTAATTCTTCTTGAGCTGTTGGATTTTTTCTTTCCTTAGTCATTGTATGTTTCCCCTGAAAATTTAATTCTGTAGCATCTTGTTCCATACTAACTGTTGTATCGGTTTTTTGTGTTGGATCAAGAGCTTTCCTATTATTATACACCTCAGTGTATATTTTCTTAACGTTACCATCCGGTTTAGCAGACATTCTCTTTTTAATTAAGGTTCTGCCTTCTGCATGTTCTAAAATAGTATTTAGACTGTTCCGTAAAAAATCTCTTCCATCTTCATCAATAGTAGAAATCTGTGGTTTACTTTCAATACTATCTAAGATTTTTGCTACAAATTCCATATTGTTAACACATAAAGCGGTTTGTAGAATTGTATCATACATCTTTTGCTCTTTACTTCGACGACCTTTGCCTGCACCATTTATATTCCTTAAAATTTGTTTATTAATTTGTTTGATAATCTTATCATCAGAAAGTGTTTCTTTGTATGCTTCCTGAATTACCGAATCTTCATTTTTAGTACATTTTTCACATAAATATGTTACTATCGAATTATGTTCTTGACTTACTGCAGTAGCAAGTAAAGTGATAAAGCTTCTTTTTAATAATAACTCATCCTCGCCACTTTCATTATCTTTACTACTTTTATTACTGATATCTTGTTCTATGGATTCTAACACTTTCTCTATAAATACTTGATTTTCCATTAGGGCTGCCAATTCAAGCACACCATACAGAGGATCTTCTTGAGCCTTTTGCAATTCCAATTTAAGATCACCAAGAGCATCTGGAGTAAGAACCGCCTTTAACAACTCTTGATATTTATTAGCAGCTATGACTGAAAAGAAGCCTATAGTTTTCCCACTTGATACTGTAATTGTTTTTTCTTTCAATTTTTGCTCTTGATAAAGCTCAGAAAATCTTTTTATAAATTCTGATATATACTGCTTACCACCTATCAGCAGTGGTAAAAGACTTAAATTTTCCTCAGCAAAAAGTACCTCATGGTATTTTTCAGCAAGCTGATCGTTAGCTGCAATTGCTAGTAATACAAGTTCGCTTATACGATACTTATGTACTAACTTTTCTTGATTAAGGTTATATGGAAAAAATATATTATATAGATAACTTCCTGTTAAAACTAAATGAAGTTGTTGTTTATAGAAATTCATGAAGCTTTCAGTCTCCAACACAACAAATTGGTCTTTATAGTTTGCAATATTCTTTACAACCTCATCTAATTTTGAATACTTGCCTGCTATAGCTTCATTTAAAGCGCTTTTTATATCATCAAGAGGAGATATCACATGTACAAAATCCTGCCCAACACCTGTATCATTAGAATCCTTCTTCAACCAACCAAACATACTTACTTACTTACTTAATTACCTACTACTATAGATGAT